AGGATGAGTTAAAAGTGAAGACAATGTTGATTTGTTTATACGATTTGAAGCGAGCTATTTATCTGGAGATCGTTCTAAATGGCCAAATGGTTAGTGCTGTATTTATTTACCGCATTTCTGACTAGTTTTAAAAAAAAAAAAAAAACAATCGCATTTTAGCCGAAAAGCACTTCTCACATTGGCCTGCCTTGGCTCCGGAAATTTTCGGAAATTTGCATTTGCCCATGAAAGGTACTTTAAGAACGTTGAAGCCGTCCAAAGGCTTGTAACACCAGTCTGAAAGGCTAGTTCAAAATTCTATAACGCTTTCTATTAAAGAGCTTCAGCTTGACAGCGGAGATGAAGAATTAATATACAGTGGGAAGCTCTTATTGTCCATTTTTCGTATTACACTAAGTAATTACTTTTCTTCAAACTAGCAGTTAAATTTTATTTGTATTTCTAGAACAGATGTAGGGCTTAACTTCCTTCCTACACTTTTAAACTGCGCAACTATAGAAAATTCATCAACTGCTTTCAACAATTTAGTTCTCTCAAATAACCATCATTATTTCAATCTTGTAAACCAATTGGGCGTTACGGCAATCAACGCCAAGCATCGCACAAGCAAAATGGCGAGAAAATAACCGCACAATTTCAATTTTCAGAGGCGCCTGAAACACAAACATACGCACACATATAAAACGTTCATACATATAACGAATATATGTATATTTAAATGCATATTTTAATAGGCCATAAAATGGCCTGATGCCGCAAGACAAATGTGTGTAAGTAAGAGTATGTATGTGTGTCTCTGGGCTTGTATCTTGGTTTTGGGACAAATGCCATTCGGCATATTTAAGGACTACGGATGCACAAGGCCAAGCTCGCTAGTCAAGTGAAACAAAAGCAAAAAATAGAAGCAGAAGCAGAGAACGAACCAAATATATAATAATAATATAAATTATAAACGAAAACTCTACGACGAGGACATTTTGCGCAGAAGACGACATGCGATTTGATGGGAAATGATTTTGCAGTTGGCGGAAAGCAGAAATCGAAGCATAAATGGCAGTTGAGTGAGCATGTGTGTGTGTGTGTGTACGCTGCACATGGTGTTGCCGCTGGCGAAGGTCAAGGGTCATGCTGGTTCTGGCATTGATGATGTCGAAATTTACTGCAACACTTGGCACGACAATCAAAATGCAGAAAACAATGCCCCAGGGCTCGATTCTAATGTGAAATAGCTCGCATATATTTTTAGGCTCTTCGATTTTTGACAATGCAATTGATGACGACAGAGCCAGCAGATTCACACACACATACATACATACATACTATAGTTATATAAATATTATATATGGACATATCGTCAGTAATTGCGAGTTACTTAATGTGCAGCAATGTGCAGCAGCAGCTGCCGCAATGTCTATCCTAAATCGATCCGAAATGCTTTGAGTACGTATAACTCCGTTCTGTTTTGTTCTGTTCAGTTCGTGTCATGCCATGGGCATGTTCTTATATATCGTACATATGTATATACTATGTATGTGTGTGCGTGTGTGTCTGTGTGTGTGTGTGTGTGTGTGTGTGTGTGTGTGTGTGTATGTGGAGGTCAGGCCTATACCACGCGATGTGATTGTGAATGCGAAAATGTGACGACGACCAGGCAGCGCAGACTCGCTCGACTGCACAATGGCATGAATTGACAATAGAAAGGACAAATATTTATTATTTAAGATTCAAAATATTCTACACCTTTCTTATTTTTTGAAGCTTTTTGACAAAACTGCACAATGGCATGAATTCACATTGAAAATGACATCATCTTCATATCTAGTTGGCTAAACATAAATTTATGGATCATCATGGTAGCTTTTAGTTTGCAGTTGACGCGCTTTCCACCTTTTTTAAGAAGCAATTTGTTTTAAATTATTTAAATATTAAGAATCAACAGTTGACGTAGCTTTATTTTAAAATAAACGAATTTTCGTTATTCATTATAGAAACTTTTAAAACTGGTGTTAAAATATTAATATTTTGGTTTTTGTATAGGCCCTCATAATATTTTATTAACAAATCCAAAACATATAGTCTTAACGATATTTTAAAAAGGGATTGTTATGCTTTTTTATATTTGAAAGAAATTATCATTGGAATGGTGCGCTGAAGCACTAGTTTTTGAAATTAACTTCGATGTTTAAATCTGTTTTGATGTGTATTTTTTATGTATAATTCTGATCCACTAGTTGTTTTAATGTCTGCTAAGCATTCTGGTGAGATTTATTTATTTATTTAATCTAACTTAATAATAATAAAATTATAGGCTAGCTTATTTTTTTTCTAAGCTATGGCAACAGAGGCCTTCAGCTCCTTCTGGTGAGATACAGAGATGGTAAAGATTGATCTAATGGCGATAGGAATTGCATTATAAATGATTATGTATGGATCAGAAAATAAATAAAATTCAGCACACTTTCATAATAACTTTTCTATTTCAATTATTTTAGTTTATTTTACTACTGTTTACTACATTTTCTACCAAACATATTTAAGGCATATATGTATATATAAGGCGACTGCCGGACTAAACAACACAACAACCGTGTAAAATGTATGTTTCAATAATTTTGTATAAATATTTTATGAACTTTTAAAAGCTTGTTTGTGTCAGTAAACTTAAGATTTTAGTAGTTTATAAGCGATCCAACTGATATGGTAATTCAAAATGCTTCAATTTAGCATTAATGAAGTCCAACTTCAATATGTAATATGTTGGAATGCATTTTAACTTTCATTTTGTTCAGCTGTGCCAGGGTTGTTTATTGGATTGCCTGCCTTTCTGCCTTTTTGACTTGCTCGCTAGGATGACGTAGTCCTCAGTCATCGTCGTTGTTGTCGACGTTGCGCTAAGTGTGTTAGTGTGCTTTAGCTTGGGGTTGTTGGGCTTGTTGTTGTAGTTGCTGTTGCTGTTGCACACACAAACAAGCACACACACACACACACACACACACGCAGAAAGCAGCGGCATTAAATGGTTTTTTTTCCAGCGCCCTCCTCTTATTGGGGTCGCCTTGCCATTTTATACTTTAAAGGCGCCATTTAGTTGGTGAGTGCGCTAAATTATTAAAAGCAAAGCATGGCCGAACGAAGAAATTTACACAAACACACACACACACATACACATATCTACAGCAGCCCTGACAGTTCATTAAATTCAATGTATGCAACAAAATGGCAAGAAAAGCAACAACATGTGGCTGCCATTTTGTCGTTGCCCCTAAAAGTATGCAATACCGCACTCATCATAATCATATGCTTCCTGCCTGACAGATTGACTGACTAACTGACTGACTGAACCTTGCATAGAGGCAGAGGTAGTATAGTAAGTATGTGTACTAGAGGTGCCTCTGTTGTTGTCGTTGCTGCGCAAAAACATTTTGCAAAGTTCGAAGTTGGCGTGCCTTCGTTTAAGCCTGTAGGCAACAATGTACGAGTGTGTGTGTATGTGTCTGTGTGCGCTTAAGCCAAATGGTACGAAAACAGACTAACCCAATAGAACTTGATGGAACTTCGTTACCAATATTTTCGTTAGCTTTATTTTTGTTTATTTTCACAATGAAAGACGCGCCATATGCTATTTCAAATTTTAATAATAAAAGTATAATACAAACACGTTTATCAAAAATGAAGACTTCTTCGTTCGAAGTGACAAGATTTATTAAAGCGAATATAATTTTTTAATCAAAATTTGAAGTGAAGCCACAGTAGAGAATCTAACATGAAGATTTTTGTTTTTATTGGACACTTTTTCATAAGAAAGCAATTGCCATATGTATTTTACAACAAATAGTTAGAACATCTGGTACATTTAAATTGTTTTTAATACCAAAAATATCTAACACAAAAAATGTATGAACATTTAGATTTTAAGCCAGTTTTGTGGATAAAAACGTTATGGGAATGGTCAATATTTAAAAGTATTGAGCTAGTCTCATATCTCTAATAAGTTTCAACGACATGCTTCCGATAATTCTCTACTACCTGTTTCTTATAAAACTGATCTATCTTCCTATGTATTTAATTAAACGAAAAATCAGAGCCTCGTGAATATAAAAGTTAATTACTTGACACCTTTTGCTAACGATGCTCGTCAACTGATCGTTTGCAATTTTAGAATAATTTTACTTAATTTTTATTCACTTACACAACTAAAAGTTAATCAGTACAACTTGTAAACTTTTCAGATGAAATAAAAGCATGGCGACTGTTTCCTCATCCGTTTCTAAAGTCGGCAAACACTAATAAAAACAAATGGAAGACTGCAGGTGTCTAGTAGAACTTTAGAAGGCAACATATTTGTTGCAAGTCATTAATAAAAGTTCTACTGGGTAGGAATTCTTCAGAAATATATTGACTAAGGCAGTAAGTAGTGCGTAGCGATTTTATACGTCACGTGAGAGTTTATTTTATTATTATTGCGCTGCTCTCCCAGCGTAGTATGCTTAATATAAATTTCATATCTGTGTACTATATATGTATGTATTCAAACATTGTACATATGTACATTCGCACCACGCATTGATTTTCTTTATTCTACTTTTCATCCTACATACCAACAACCAATTAGGACCAACACACTTAATTACTTTGCACTCGTCGAGGATCGCCGCTAAAGCAAAAAGTTTCATGCTCAAATATTTGCATTCCATAATAAAATGCTTGCAGTGTGCGCAAAAAGTTTTTTATTCTGTTTATATTGTGTTGAAAATCAACAGAAGCAACTGTGCTTCAATATTTTGTAGTAGCTGTTAGTGTTTTTGCTTTTCTTTTTGTTTATTTTTTTACGATTTGCCGTGTGTTGCACAGTTGCCTTTTTGCTTTCTGCTTTTCACTCGCTGACTTCACACAGTCAGACCCACGCACACACACACACACACACACACACACACATACTGGATAACACACGCACACACACACACAAAGACGCGTCTAAAACATATAAAGAAATGGCTCACAATTTCCTCGTTGCCTTTTTATGGTCGTTGTCTGTGGTTGCTGCTCCTGCTATAGTATTTGTAAGTTTTCTTCTTTCTATATAATATTCCTTTGTCACTTTTGTCACGATTTTGTCGCACACAACTCGTCCACGCGCTATAACGACTGACTGCGGTCTGAACGCAGATTTCGTTGGCGTGTCGAAATCAGTCCAAGTCCTTGCTGGTATTTGCATTCGTGTACGTTTGCTTGCTGGTGAAAGTTATACACCAACGAGCGGCATCTGCTCACAGGACATGCGCACTGCTCTGAACTATACGGGCCTGCAGGTGACACACTTTTGTATCCCGTCCCGCCATTTGATGAAGTGGATTTTCCCTGCATGGCCTACAAAGTGCCAAAATCTACTATTTACATCGGTTTAAGGCAGCACTTTTCGTTTGTTCGTTCGGTTTTTTCCCTTTTCGCTTTCTTCCTTTCTGATTTCATTTTGCATGCATTGCCGGGGGCCAGTTGAAGGGCCGGTTGGCTGGCTGGCTGGTTGGCTGACTGGTTGGCTGACTGGTTGCCTGGCTGGTTGCTTGCCTGATTCTTTTTTGTACTTGTTGTAATGTTTGCCTGCATAGCTCGCTGCGGTTTGTAAGCAGAACGTTAAAACTTTGGGCGTGATGTGGCACAAATGTCATTTTCCATGCTGGCTTGTCGGACATAGTCTCGCCGGGGAGATTTAATTTTCGCAGCTGAGCTTCTACATAAACCATAACTCTATGCAGTACATCCTCAATTGGTTTTGCTGCGGTCAAGCACTGGACTTGGCTAATGAACTGGCTAACTGACCTTTGCGGCTCCATCTGCGCAGAATGTTTGGCATTTACTGACTTAAAAGCACTGGAAACATAAAACGTTGTCATGTCGCTTAATTAGAAGCACTCAATTCAATTATAGAGTCAAATATTTTATAAAATTTCATATTTTAGAACTACTTTTATGTTTTCTAATTATGCGAGCACTTAGAAGACACATGCTTTCATTTTAATGCCATTTGTATTGCTCATTTAAATTATTTTTATTATTTCACCTATCAGTTCACATTGAGAAATTTTTTGAAAGGGACGCAAGGGTTCTAATAAGTATGATATGGGTGAGCGTCGAGCAAGGCAATACTTTATATCGTCGTTTTGTCAATATTTACATTCAATTTACAATTTTTCTATAAAGACATTTCAATAAAGCACACACAGTACATCAGTACATCAATTTATATTACAAGAACTATAGAACTATACCACAGTGATATACATTCGTGATTCATTTTAAATGATTTTTAAAGTAATAATAATAATAATTCATAATAAATTATTAAAAGATTTGGTTATGTAAAAATATGTAAATGTATATAGAAAATAATGCACAACAAGATGAGACTTGAAATAGGTCTTTTTTATTATTTAGTTTAAAAAAATGATTGAAAACCAAACATTCCATTCAAATTTATTTAGAACCACTTCTTTAAGAAAGCCATGTCCGTCCGTATGAACATCAATAACTTGTAAGCCACAATAGCTAGAGACGCCAAACATAGAATAGAGACTTATCTTATCATTAGCGTCATATAGCCTCATTATTTTATATAACTGCGATGGATGGGATCGAGGCAAAAATCACTCTTAGATGGATTACTATTTTGTTTATTAATTTGGTTATTATAGCTTTTTTACAATACCTTACAATACAATAACATTCTTAAGTTCAATAAAAATCAAAGCACTATATCATAGGAATGATCGCCGCGAAAATCTATAGTAGTACCAAAAGCTTTTCTATTTATTGCGATGCGGTATTCAAAATATATATTTGTTATTCTTCTATAGGGCCTCACAATAATCTGAAACTTTATCAAAATCTTTGCACTATATCATATAGCTGCCATATCAACGAATCGTGTACAAAGGTTTTAGTTGAAGGATTATGGAGCAGAGAGGGAGGGTAATGGGTAAACAAAAGTTGTACTCGTTCTAATTAAAAATGTAGAATACACAGTACAACAAAACCACAACCAACTCTTAAGTTAACCCAAAAGTTTAAACTAACAGAGTTGCTGCTTCTAGTTAACAGGAAACTGTTAGTACAAAATCTATGATTGTCACGAGTCCTGACCAAACACAATTAAAAGAAGCATAGCTCCTAAAACTAATTACTTCAAGTGAATATTGCACACTATTTTTTGCACACTTTATGCCAGACCAAACAAATATACTGAGTAAACAGCTGAGCAAGAACTGCAAATTGCGGTCTGCAAAATTAACAAATGCCCAGCTGGCCTTTCATTTACTTTCGTTCTTATAATGCGAATATGCAAGGTAAACGATTTTTAGTGATGGTTACAAAAAATTAAAAAAAAAAAGTTGACCTCTCATTGTTCTGAGTACATTTTTATATACATACTTTCGATTTTAAACCTCCTCAGATAACTAATCTGTAGTAGATTTAGAAGAACGATATTTGATTGTAGGTGTTTATGTTTTGAAATGTTTTGTATATAAGCCATAATTATTTTATTTCGATTAGGTCTTTTTAAAAAAATATTTTTAAATAAACTGTATTTTGTACCTAAGCTATTATAAAAATTTACGCATTTTCGTTAATTGCCATTTCGTTTTTTTAGTTTTTGCACTATTTTTTGTAAATATCAATCAAACAATATCAATTGTTTATTATAAATATATAGTTAGGAATATTAAATTCGCTTTACAATATATTACATTAACGATTAAGGATGAATTTTATATCAATGCTGTCTACAAGAACAAGTAACTCGAATTAAATCTAAGCAATAGGATTGTATTGAAACTGAAAAAATGTAAGCATTCACGAATTTAAGCACCAAAATAAATGTGATCCGGTACGTGTTAAACAAGAAAGGAATGCTAAATTAATTAATTAATTTAATTTAATTAATTAACTTAATTAATTTAATTAATTAACTAAATTAAATATAAAATATTCTATGCATGTATACATATACATTTACATTTACATCAGAATTGTGCCTTATGCGTGTTTGTGTACTTATACATATGTATGTATGTGTGCATTGGGCCTGGTTATATGGCTATAACTTTCTTTCTGATCAGTGGTGGGTGGATCAGAAAAAATGAACAAACTCGTCCTTTCTCGGTCTCAGGAGAATCTGTACACCAAGTTTGGTTATTCTAGCTCTTATACTTTCGGAGATCCTTGTGTTCATACAGACAGACAGACGGACAGACGGACATGGCTATATCGACTCGGCTTGTCATGCTGATCAAGAATATATATACTTTGTGGGGTCTACCAAGCCTCCTTCTGCGTGTTCCATGTACACTCGCACAAAACTAATATACCCTTGTACCCTTTGGGTACAGGGTATAAAAATATCGACAAGTTCTCAGGATAGGTTATCACCTATTTGTAAGAGCGACTTTAACTGTTTTTTCCCTTCCGAAATTAAAACCGAAATGTATTTGTTATTGTACATAGAAATGGAGCTCTAAGCTGATAAAACGAAAGTAGTATATTATCAAAGTTTTTAGTCGGATAAAAGTACTTTCTAATTGGTTTAACTTGACTGGTAACATCAAAGTATGGTTATCTACATTAATGTATATTAAAAAGATCTAAATCCAAATTCCAAATATGTTTGATGGAACTAGAAAAGCATGTATAGTAAATTCGCCCTAAACTGCAATTTGTCTAATAAGCTTGAAATGTTTGTACAGTATAGGGAATTTTTTTGGAAATAGAGAAATACATGTTTTACATTTAAACAATTTTCTTGATTCTAGCAAAGTTTCTTATAAAATTGGCTTACACTTGGGCCCGATTTTTTTTTTTTTTTTTTTGCATTACTACCAAAGAGCTTTTCTAAGTTGATTGTTGGTCATGTTTTATGTTTTGGTTGCTTGTTTATATTAGAACCAGTTTTTAAATTTCTGGTCTTAGCCATCACCGTCAGCATCGATGCAAGTTCTGTTCTAAATCGAGCCTAAAAGTTTCATAAAAAAAAACGACAAAACTGTCAGCATCACGCAATTTTTGTCACTACGTGAATGATATAATGTGTGGCTGTTGCATTGCAGGCTGGCTGGCACACACAGACACACATACACACATGCAGCCGCTCCTGCTTATGCCACATGCCACGAAAGGAAATCAACTTTGAGTTATTGCAATGGAAACGCAACAACGACGCGACGCAATGAAACGAAATGAAATCAAAAACTCAACGCCAACGGCATCGCTTGTCAATTAAAACATTAAACGTGCAGAAAAATGCGCAAAAAGGCGAAAACAAACAACATCAGCAGCAGCAACAACAACAATACGAGACGCCAAGTCGCACAGTGGGTCAGAAGACGTGTGGAAAAAAACAATTGATCAATTGATTGCCTTGAAATAAGAGTGTGTTTCAATTTTCTTTAAGGCAAATATTAGATGCCACAAATGGCATTAAAAGAGAGAAGAAGAATTATGTTTTGCAAAATATTTGATCAAGAGAAGAAACAGTTCAGGGTTCTAGTAAGGAATTTTGAATTTTTTAAATGTAATCTTTGTTTTGTGCAGTTGAAAACAATAATAATAATAAACAAATAATTTTAGTGTTATGATTAATTTTTGCACAGATCATTCCTATGGCAACTATAAGTTCTACTGAAACTTCAGAATATCATGAGGCACTTTACAAAACTTCTAAATACCAAACATTATTAAAATATCTCCTCAAGCAAAAAAGTTTTCAATGTGAGAGAGATTTTTCAAAAGTTTTCGGTGGACATACGAACAGATGCATCTAGATGGGCAGAAGAACAGCAGACGTCTAGTCTTGCTGATTCTTTGTGTGCCTAAAACAATTCACTATACACTTCGGATATACTATAGTGTACAAAAGTGTAAAAAGTTTGGCTTAGACCTATTATCAGACTTGTTATTCCTTATGGTTACTCACATATTTTTGTCCACACTGAATTTAGTTGCTGGACCACTGTGCGGCGTTGTGCGATTAGAAGCAAAGAATTTCGCAATGAAGCACTTAGCGAGCAGCGTTGTGCTTTTCAAAAACAAACAAACAAATAAACCAAATAAACCGAATGAACGAGCGAGCGAACCGACCCTGCTCAGACATTTTAGAGGATGGTGGGGTGGAGGGGTGGACAGGGGGAAGTGGGGTGTTAGGGAAGTGGGCGGGCTGCTGCGACGGGCGCGGCTGCATCAAAGCGCTAATGTGTGACCCAGTTTTGAGCGATGCAGGAAAGGAACTTCGCGTGGTTGTGGCTGTTGAATTTTTTTTCTATTTTTCGCGATCATTAAAAACTGGTTGGTCCGACCAAAATCGACAAAGCATTTTGGGCTTCAAAGCACACACAGGCATCGTATGTGTGTGTTTGTGTGTGTGGGAAACTTGGCTTGTCTATTGAGAGAGCTTTTTACATCTTTTTTAGGTAGCCACCGAGGCTTTAAAACCGCCGGCACACGCAGACGCCGCGCGAGTTTAAAACATTTTATTAACGGATATAAGAGCCAAGAGCGAGTCGCGCTACTCGAATAAATAAATACAAAAATAAGAATATAATAAAAAATGAAAATGAAAATTGTAGCGTCAATTGATGCTGGGTTCGCCCCCCACCTGTGCGTGCTATTGCCTTTGTTGTTGTTAGTGTGCAGCAGTGTGGTGACAGGTTTTCCGGATGGCGCACCGGCGGATACGTGTGTCAAGCAACGTGCGAATCAACCGAACCACGGTCAAGCACGCTCCCAGCCCCCCAATACCAACCCGTTCGAGGTGGTGGCCACCTCCCAGACCTATCATCCGGGCCAGCAAATCGAGGTGGTCATCTATTCGGCCAACGAACAAAAGAGCAGCGTCTTCCGTGGCTTCTTTTTGCAGGCGCGCGATGCCAATTCGAATGAATGGATCGGGGAATGGGTGCAGAGCGAGAACACCAAGACTATACCAGAGTGCTCGGCCATAACGCACTCTGATAATCGCGATAAGTTGGGTGCCAAGTTGATTTGGAAGGCGCCGCAGAATAAACGCGGCAATGTCTACTTCACGTAAGTCTCCAAAAATTTATATTCGTTTGTTTAGAAAAGCCAACAAGTAGTTGCGACCCAGATTCCAAGAAATGCTTCAGCGACAAAAATAACGATTTAAAGCACATTCGGACGGGGAAATAATTCGCAGACAAATCTATTTATCAATAAGGTTACAAGTTGGCTTCTCTCGAATTAATTAATATAGTGCATTATAAAGGTTTCGAAAACAAACAATTGTGGCAACTATTTTTCATTACTTGTTGAGCATTTTCTTTCCACCTATTTTCATTGACAAAGCTTTCTCACTAATACATGGGAACACTCTAAAAAGTAGCGATATTTTCTTTATTGCTATGACTAAAAATTACTTGTAGCTTTTTTCTCTACAATGTTGTATTTAATATAATTAAATAATTGGTACCTAGCCTTTCAACAATTTCTTTGTTTCTACGTTTAGTTTTAAACGCAAAAGCCCACAAGTTTGTGGGAAACAAATATAATTGATTCAAGCATGATGGCATGTAATCGGGTTGATAGGAAAAACCCCTAAATCCCGACTATTCAGCGCATTTTGACAGACCTTCTTGCTTCTCAACACCACATTCCAACAAAAACACAAAAAACTCAGACAAAAAACGTTAATTTTTGTGTTTACAAGAACTTGGTATCGGCTGACTATGTAGCTTTCAAGTTTTTTCGACTCATAAAGTTAGATGAAGAGACATATCTAGTCGAGTTTTAAGAATACTTCAAGCATACTAATGGAAACATCGAGCGAAATTAACTAATCTATTGAGACAGAACGATGCATTTTTACCCACTTAATCCCATATTGAATCGAGATCCGATAAGTATATTTCTGCTCATTTTTACGCCTTGTTTGGCCGTCCGAACTATACTCTCCTGAAACCTAAGAAATGATATTCATATTCTTTGCTGACAAATTTAGTAACATATTTAGTTAGTACAAGTATCAGTTAAATTGTACTTTCGTGTTCATTCAGTCGCAAATTTGTCGAAGTGTGTAAATTCATTCAAATGATACAAAAGGTGCTTAGCATCCATAAACATGTATTCATTTCGTAATGCATTTTAATCAAATATAGAGCACTAATTACTCTCAGAAATAACCATAAAGTCATTAAAATATGAGTATATCTAATGTAAGCGGACCAATTATAAAGCCTCCCTATCGAATTAGTTAAACTTTGCCAATTTACGGCATGAGAAGGCGATTTCAATATTGAAATACGAAATCGCAAGCTGTCTAATTGTGTGTGTAGTTAAAGGGATCCCCTTTGACAAAGCTAACAACTTTAAAATATTGTCAAGCAAATGGGGAGCCCTTGCAGGAAATATTTTGACTAGCTTGACGATGAGTTGGCTATAATGCGACCAATCCCAACAACAGCCACAACAACCATTAGTGGCGATGAAAAAAGCAGGCGACAGAAACGAAAACATCATTGCCAACGTCATCATCGTGAAGGCAAACATTAATCATACGGCACGTTGACCCACATAGTGAGTAAATGTGCGCATAATTGTCAGCAAAATGCCGGATAATCAAACGCCAACAGCAATAACAACACGAACAACAAAAAACGCATTATGTAATTGAATCATTCGGGTAAGACGACAGCACACACACACACATACAAGCATAAAAGCAGAAGAGCTATGACTAGTTACTTGCATTCAACAAATCGTTGACTTTAAAACACGTGTAATGACGTTGGAAAAAGTTGTCGATGTTTTTATGCTCGCTGCGTAACTTTATAAGTATTAATATAATGTCTGCTACACTGTCCAGTAAGGAAGGTGAAGCAACACAATGCAGAAATGAGAAAAGTCCATAAGCCTATTGTAGTGTAAGTTTTAAAAAAACAAAATTGTTTGCAATACTTGTAGTTTAAATTGTAAAATCCATGAAGCTTATAAATACTCTAAGAAGAAGGCGGTTGAAAGCAGAATAGAAAGAATAAGAATAAGAATAAACTCCAAAATGGTATCAATTTTGCATTTACTGAGAAGTAAAGAAAAGCATTTCTTATGGCTGGTTTGCACAGAAGATTTAACAGGGCGGGTGAATCTACATCCCAAGTTATAAAGGACTCCTATAAATAATCTAGCTACTGAAATAATCGCGTATATTAGCAAACAAAGGTTGGGATGCCAGCTTAAGCCAATTATAATATAAAAAAGAATTTGAAACTGGACCGATCTTATTCGATTTTAGTGCGTTTTATATTGAAGACAGCAAACGCGTGAAAAGTTTTCCAGCACAGGGCGTACTAGCGATTGAATTCTTTAAAGCAACTTTTAATGAGTCCAATTAAAAGTTGAAGTACTGTCGATCTCTATTGCAATGGTGACTAATTGAATTGGATTCTAGAAAAAGTAATTAACTTATATATTGAGGACAGTGAATGGGTAAGCTGTAAGCACTAATTACTCTCAGAAATAGCCATAAAGTCATTAAAATATGAGTATATCTAATGTAAGAGGACCAATTATAAAGCCTCCCTATCGAATTAGTTAAACTTTGCCAATTTACGGCATTCAAAATGTTGCTTTTGGAGCAATTAACAACATTAATTAAAACGATTAAAAATATATTAGTACTAAATACTTTGAAGTGTTGCATCGATTTACAGCATAGTTAAAAAAAACCAATTGAACTAGCAAAATTATATTTCTACAAACTATTCCCAAGAATTCCATCCAATTTACAGCATAATGTTTTAAAATAAACACTTATGTATATGCTTATAAAGACATATACTTTGCGTTTTTAAAAATTATTGCGTTACTGAGAATAGATCTTTGGGCAAATAGATAATCAATTACATGTAAACTAGAACTATGCGATTGCTATTATTATTAAAAATTAGGAAAAATCATTTCGGAGAAACAATACATCTAAGCCAATCTCATTTAAGCTGATCGAACACTAGTTCTAGAAGAAAAGCGAAATAAATCTTTAAGACCTTTTTGGACAAATGAAGAATCATTTATTTAAAGAAATTTGACAATCTAACCGACATAGAAAAAATTCCATTTTTATTAACAAGACAGACAGGCCATCAAAGGAAATTATTTCAACTGAATGAACTTTTCTGTACTTCTTGCACTTTTATGAAAGAGTATTAATACATATATCTGTATTCATAAATTTTTGGGCTATTTTGCTTCCCCCGAACCATGATTGCTCTTTTTGTAGCTCGGTGTAATCTTTTCCATGCATTTGAAAATGTCGAATCATCAATTTGCTGCTATTTATAACGTCCGCTTGCTTTCAATCAACGATTTTACAACTCATGCGCTTCTCGTTTTACAGCTGCACATTAACGATCAAAATTTTGGTTTTTAACATTTTTGTTATTTGCAGCGGCACTGTGCTACAGGAATATGGAACCTTCTGGAGCGACATTATTGGCAAGGTGCAGGCGCAGCCATAGAAGCAAATGCATTCACATTTCCATTAAGAGTTAAGCAATGAAAAAGCTGTACATAACTTGGCAATATATTGTAAATACAAGTACCTAAATTAGTGTATACAAATTGTTTTTCTATGCAAGTTGGCAAAAAATTGGTAACTTTTAACTAAATGTTTATGAATGGTAAGGCCAATACCTCTGCCCTCATTGATGTTGCTGCTCACGTTTAAATTTCTAGACACGTTGCCTACTTGAAGCTTACAATGGCAGCTCCTTCCCCCTCTACCACCCGCCCATCAGTCCAGCACCACATTTTCGCAAATTTGTTTGGCCAACTGGTAAAACTAAATTGGAAACTTTAAGCACCTTTCATGTTCGAGTGAGAGACGATAAAGTAATTAGTCCAGCGGTCGTGGCCCAGTGACGCCAAATTGGATAGCATGGAAAATAAAATGCAACAGCACTTTAATGAAGAGCCGAGTGTTGTAATATTTTAAACAACTGTGCAGATTTGTGGTTAGGACAAAAATTTATAAAGTTGGAATGACTACATAGAGTCGAAACAGACATTGTGGGGACACCTTCCTAAGCTTACAAGCGATTGAAAGCTAGAAATTCGAAGTCTCTGCAGAATGAAATGTTACTACTGCTTTATAGTACTACATTATACAGAAAGTAAAGAACAGTATTGGTTACTAGTAATAAAGAAGTAAACGATAACTATTGAATGTTATGCAAACAATAATCTATACATTAAAGATGTTTAAAGAATTTAGAATGACTTCATGGAGTCGAACCAACCCATTAGGCATTGTGGCAAGTCCTTTCTAAATTTACAATAAGTGATTGAAGAGCTACACACTAAACGAAATGTTTTCAATGTTTTTATATGCTATCCTGAAAAATATCTAATTTACAAGTATGTGTCTTGATATAGTAACTTTCGATTTAAAACAAGACGAAGAATTCCCTGAAAATTAGCGAAAACCGTTGAACGCATATTCTGTCTTCAGTTGAAATACCGATTTTGCTTAGTTTTTTGAACTTTAAATATAAATAATAACAAACTGTTTAATATGCTTAATAACTTTAGTTAAGTTCCTCAAATACATATGATCGTATGTAGTGTTGAGGTAAAGTGCCCAAAAGCTTAAGCAATAGATCCCAAAACATTACTAGGGTATTCCTTGAATACATCGGCTATATGTACTAGGAGATTTATCTAAGACTTCGCTTATATAACAAAATCACTTAGCTGTTTTTTATAAGATAAAGAACACAAAGGTATCTAAACAAGTTATTCTCCCCTAAAAAAAAAATATTCATAATTGTTGCGATTACGGCAATAGACAATTTATAATAATTTATAAATTACAAATTGTTTGCAGAACGAATAACTTAATCAATTGGGTTCTTTAATTAATGTTCGACGCTCTTCAAATATTTATGGATATTTTCTTCAGGGCTAACATAGGTAACAAAATCAAAAATTGAAACCCAAAGGTATACAGTATATAATTATTATTGTGTTTTAATTTGTTACAGCCAATAAATAACGTAGCAACACTACACTCCTCCAGATGAAAATCGTTCGTAACATTTTAGCTCACAACAATTTCGATCACTAATTCATTAAGGAAGAATTAAATAAAACCGAAAAAGTTGAAAGCTTGTATTTATAAGTACTTTCTATAAAGCCCAGAGTGTAGCCATGTGGGATACAAAGAAATGAAGGGAAGCTACTGCTAAAAAGCCAAACAATTAAAATAAAAAAATTTTTCTACTCTCAAGCCGAAAATGAAAAACATTCCAACAAAATTGTAATCTTAATTTTTCAAATCCTAAAATAATCTGCAATTTTTCTTTTACAGTTCAGGCTAAAACTGAGCGTATTATAAGCTCATTAGAACTGTTTTAAGAATAAATATTGCTGAGTCATATATATTTATAGATTTGAATATAATAGGCATAGATTGGGAGTGTAAAACAATTCATAATCCCTTTCTTTACACTCCAAAATTGGTATTCTGTTTTCGGCTCTTTTTTTAAAGAAAATATTTACATACTACATCGTTTAACCGGTTTAGCAATCAGTTGCCATTTAGAATGTGTGTGTTCTACATGTTAGTATGTACATAGTTCTAATTTGCATTTGCTGTGCCCGTATTTCGTTTATTTTAGAAATATGTACATATAAATATAACTAGTATTGTAAGTTAATAGGCATTCACGTACCGATTTGAATTGTCAAAGCAAATGCGCTCTCATGTGCTCTTGACGTTGCATTTTAAATTGTTTTCCTATTCGCTCATTGCAATTAAAACCAACTGCATAGCAGCAGCGGGCAAGGAATGAGGGGAGACAACCGCATGTTGTTTATTCTCATTGCAGCCGTCCGAGACTTGTTTTGATCAAATTCTGTCGCTGCCTCTTATGTCGTTGTCTGGCTTCGTTGAGCCCACACATGGGCGCGTGCGCCAGTGGCGTCTGTTCACGTTTTGTTTTTTGCAAAGATCAAGCGGATTTATACATCTGAAGCTACGCCACTGAGGTCTCTTGTCCAGTCTGTTTTCACGCACGCTTTGTTATTGCCTGTTTTTATTGTTGCTTTAAATTATCAGCAGCAACGCCGCTAACGCCGACGTCGATCGTTGCTTTTGTGCGCATTCGGCTCAACACTTTCAGTTATATATGCACGCCTTCCTAGCGAGGTTCTCACACCGCACGAATCTTTCAAACGGGACGCATATATAGCAGCGACAAAGAATACAAAAGCATGGTTATCAATTTTGCTGCCGGTCCAGCCAAGTTACCCGAAGAGGTCAGTTGTGGTCAAACATCAGCCGGTTTCAAGCGGTTCTCATCATCTAATTATTCCGACAGGTACTGCGGGATGTACAGAAGAATCTGCTTGACTGCAATGGCAGCGGCATTTCGGTTATGGAAATGTCACATCGTTCCAGCAACTATGCCAAGATTCAGGAGACGGCCATTGCCGATTTACGTGCTCTCCTCAATATTCCAAGCAACTATAAAGTGCTCTTGATGCAAGGTGGGGGTACGGGACAATTTGCAGCTGTTGCCTTCAATCTGATTGGGCGCTCGGGTAGCGCAGATTACGTTATTACTGGCTCATGGTCCTCGAAAGCAGCCAAGGAGGCAGCCCAATACGGTAAAGTGAACGCCGTACTGCCAAAGGTATCGAAATATGTCGAGGTGCCCAGACAGAGCACGTGGCAAACGGACCCAAAAGCCTCATACATTTATTACTGCGACAATGAGACTGTAGAAGGTGTGGAGTTTGACTTTGTGCCCGTGCCCCCGACTGGTGTGCCTCTAGTGTGCGATATGTCCTCCAACTTTCTGTCCCGGCCTATTGATGTGACCAAGTTCGGTGTCATTTTTGCGGGTGCTCAAAAGAATATTGGACCTGCTGGCACCACCGTCATCATAGTACGCGACGACCTTATTGGCCAGCATCTGAAGACAACACCGTCCATATTGAACTTTGAGCTGATGGATAAAAACAGCTCATTGCTAAATACGCCACCCACTTTTGGGTAAGTGAACAATCCAAAATATGTTAAGCCACTTGTTCTAACATTCCTTGCTCCTTTGTCAGAATTTATGTCATGGGCTTGGTTTTTCAATGGATTAAGCGCAATGGCGGCATTGAAGGCATGGCCGAACGTTCACGCGCCAAATCGCAACTCATCTATAACATAATCGATCAATCCAATGGTTTCTATTACTGTCCTGTGGAACGCAATGTGCGTTCGCGCATGAATGTGCCCTTCCGCATTGGCAGCGCAACCGGCAACGATGCGCTGGAGAAGGAGTTTTTGGCCAAGGCCGAGGCCGAGGGCATGATACAGTTAAAGGGCCATCGTTCGGTGGGCGGCATACGAGCTTCCCTCTACAACGCCATCACCTTGCCGGAGACGCAACAGCTTGCCAAGTTAATGCTTGCGTTTTATGAAAACAATAAAAACTAACTACACTCAAAGTGTCAGCTAAAATTATAAGTGGTTTGGTTTATTTTTACAGCAGTCCGCGCTCGCGAAATATTTCGTCCAGTTTTTCATCCAGAACGCCATTGATCCCTCGCATATTGTCCACAACACACTTGGCCCACACAAAGTATTGCTCGCGACGTTCCTGTGGTTATTAAGTAGATTTACAAACGTTTAATTGTACATTTGATATGTATTATATATTTTTAAGCGCCCACCTGCGTCCAACCTTGAGGCGTATTTTTCTGCAGGTCCCTAAGATTGTCCAATTTGTCCGCCAGCTTAATGAGCTTTGCTCGTTGACTACTCTTTGGCGCATTTACAATTTGCAAGCGCTTGCGTTCCTGCTTCTCCAGCGTTTTGTCGTCGGTTACCTCACGCACCAGACCACATACGTCGGCGCCAAACAGCTGCTCCACATCTTTAAATGTGGCTGTGGTGTCCTCCACGACGTCGTGCAGCAAGGCAGCCATTAAAACATTCTCATCCTCAATACATGCTTCCAGAGCCAAAATGGTAGCCACGTTTATGGGATGATTTATATAGGGCGTTCCTGCCGTATCTTTACGCCGTTGATCTTTATGCTGGTGAGCTGCATATTGCAGACATTCCATGAATTTACGCGAAGGATGCGTCATGTTTTATTAATACGATCCTTTCGCCACCGTTGCAAAAACTACGTTTTGATTCAATGCAACGGCATTTGCCGGCTGTGCTAGTGATGGTACTTGCTAAAGCCAAACAGCTGTTACCTGACAATTACAAAGAAAAAGCTTAGCTGAATACCCGCCAGATGGCGCGGACTAAAGCGCCAATGCGGAAATTCTCAAACAAATCTTTCTTAACGTATTTATTTCCGTGCTTTCCAGCAATTACAAAACTACAAAATGTTGCGAGCCTTAACACTCATCTTTAGGGGGCTTCACTTTGCCATTAGCAGTTCCTCCACCGGGCGGCACGTAGACGATCTTCCGCGACTTCAGCACCGACCACTTGAAACGCTTGACGTAGTAGCTAATGCCAGTTAAAAATGCCGAAATCATGACCACCTTGATCAGTAGAAGCTTACGCTCATCGCCATCCGGTTCCGAGGTCCACTTCAGGAAAGTCACAACATCCTTAGCTATCTGACTAGCAGATGCAGCGACCTCCTCGTCAGCATATGACACCACTTCGTTGGTAATCACCTGACCCATTGAAATAGCGCCGCCAGGAAAGTATGGATTGAAGTATTGTCCATCACGTAGCGCCATGCCGGCAGGCGGTTCACAGTAGCCCGTCAACAGAGCAAAAATGTAATCCTCGCCACCCTTCCGCGCATTCACAATATAGCTGAGATCGGGAGGATAGGAGCCATTGTTGGCCGAGCGCGCTGCATCCTCGTTGGCATACGGTGAGGGAAAGTGGTCCGACAACTTGCCAGGTCGATCAAAAAAGTTACCCTCCTCGTCGGGTCCGTCCTTCACAGTTATCTGCTCCGCCTCGGCCTTAGCTTCTGCCTCGGTCATGCAAACGCCCACCAAATTACGGTATGCTATGTACTGCAACGAATGGCAAGAAGAGCAGACTTCTTTATACACCTGGTAGCCACGACGCACTCCCTCCTTGTCCAGGGCTGACAACAATCCTCGATGGCCCCACATTTGCTTCGGTGGGTGCACCTCGCCGCCCGAAGCCTCAACACTTGCATCCAACGCGTACATCAACAAGCCGGCACCGCCGACAACCGCACCAAGAGTTCCCAATTTCTGACGTGAGCCCAAATAGTTTCGTTTTGCCGGAGTCGCTTGAGATATTGGACTAAGACGACTCCTGGCGGTTTTCAGCAGCTTTGTGCCCAGACGCAAAATCTTACTCGCCATACTCGCCTCCAACAAAAATTCTATTAACTTAACGCTGCAAAACTTTGTACAGTTTCTAATAATCTGCAGCCGTCATTCGGTCCAGTGTTGCACAACGGAAAATAGGAAGGAACTGCCAGTCCGATTTGCTATCACAAGTACTTAGCCTGATAGAAGTACTTAATAAAATATTTAAAGTATTCGCTATACTAAATAGACCCACACTATGAAACTTTTTTCGGTTTAAAGAAAAATATCTTTGCACACACCGTGCCTAGTTAAGATATACCAAACTATTAAGAAAAAAGGATATATGAAATTCTTTAGGCATTGTTTACTGTTGGCTTGTTATATCAGTATTTGCTAAAACTTTCAAACCCCTCTGGCAATATATTTAGAGGATGTACTACGAAAGAAAACATTAACAGTAACCTTAAAACTTTAAGTAGAACGTTACAAAGCGATACCATTTGTTGGTAAACCTGTTCTGAAATTGGTTTCAATCAAATCATTTTCCAGATGACAGAATGTAAAATATACTGATCCGCCTGCTCAATAGATCTAATCCTGTTCTAAAATAGTTATGTTTAAAGTTTTACAATCGAATATATTCAAAATAAATATAAGTTTCTGAATCTATAAATCGATATAATAGATTTTTAACACAACTAAATACAATAAAAATAAAAGTTTGTTCACAGTCTTTTAAATCAAAAATTCTTTCGTTCTTCAAGATTTTAGTTCGGAGTTTCGTTTGGGGTATCTTATTAATTAATTCAGCAGGGTATGATTTTATTGCAACTTAACTCAGAAGAGTTCACCTAAAATGTGCTCAACAAATCTATTTGAATCCATTTGATGGATTGCCAATGATTTAGGAAATACTTGTAAGTCCTTGCTTAAAAGCTTGTTTGGAATGTCTTTTAAATATTGATGGTTAAGTAGATAATCTCAATTGATTGCTAGTAAGAACAATCTGTTTACTGCCAGGCACCGAATCTTAAATCAAAGACAAAGGAAACAGTTCTAATCGTTGATCTTTCTTCATAACGCGTTTCTAAAATAAAGCCCCGATCATCTATTATGCCGTTCAAAACAAAACATGAAGTAGCATTTATTTCTTTTTATTGCTACCACACTGCCACCACCTCTTACTCCACCTCCTGATGCCACTTCAACTTCTTTGGCATTAGCTGTACACCCTAATAAATGCAGGCAAGCAGGCACTTTCATTTGTTATCTGGCGCAGTAATCTGTAAAAAATCTGTAACAGCCCACAAACAACGGTGCATAGGTACAATATTTCCTAGCTATTCTTCACACTGTGTGACCACGAAATCGTCAAAGTTAGGCCAGCAGCAACAATCCGTGCTGCCAATTCTACAGCGGTGAAAAAAGCTAGATCAGCAGTTGGAAAGGCTAGAAAGAGATACAATTATAAATATAAAACTAGAAAAATGTCACAGCTCTTAAACCTTGTGTAAAAATAAAAATTGTAGCACTTAGAAGAAAGAATTTGACAAATCGAAACCACACCCGGATGTCCTTGCCGGCTTCAATCCCTACTCCTTCCACAGATTTAACCTACATATATGACGATATGGCTTGATAACTTTATATTTTAGGTGAATAAATTCATTTTTCCACCAATCGTTCGTATGAACGTATAACACATTAATGAAAGTTATTGTTATAATAACAGAACAAAACAAAATATATAGAGATAAAATATTTATAGAATAAAATTAAAAAAAAAATAAAAACACATTAATGAAAGTTATTGTTATAATAACAGCAAAATATATAGAGATAAAATATTTAAAAAAAATTAAAAATCGTTCCTATTACAGGTATTTAAAATAATGCACAAAATTTGATGAAAGTTCAGAGTACTATGAGATAACATAATACGGATTTTGGCTATGACATTAGTTTTGTTAGTAAGATTGATTTTTGCAGCAATTGCTTCTATCAAAGCTATAGAATACAGAGCATCCTTTTTTATAAAACGTAGTATTATGCGACACTATAAAACCTCATAAATACCAAAGTAAGCTTAGATATATTTTTAAACAAAAAAGTTATTATACTGAAAGTGATTTTTCCGCGTCTATCCAATGGCAGCTATTAAATTACCAGGTTTGATATCCCTAGCTGTTATGGTTTTAAAATTCTCAGTACCATGTCTTTCCCTTGTAAACTGAACTACCAACGATGCTATAATTCGAGACCCTCCAGAGCTGGCGGGGTAAAATAGTTGAGCTGGCAACACTGACAACAACGCGGTTTTTGGTGAAAATTTGTACCTGATTTTATATTTCCCTTTTTGTTACACTATTTTTTATTATGTATTATCGTGTTTACCATATTTTTACACGCGCTTACACACCAACACTAAAGCTTCATGTAATAGTGTGTTTGTGTGTGTGTTGAGTGTGTGTGTGTGTGTGTGTACTGCGTTCTGCTTCTGCGCAGCGATGCATAATTCCCCACTTTGAATGTGCCGCGCAGCCGCAACAATTTTTGTGTGCTTGTGCTTCTTTTGTTTTGTTATTGTTGGGCTGTTGTTGCTTTTGTTGCCGAAGCTGTTAAGTTGGTTGCTGTTGTTGCTGCGCAATTAATAATTCTTCTTTTTTTTTTCGACTGGCGTAAAATTTTTATAAACAAGAAAGCAGTGGCAGTCACAGCTACAGCCACAACCGCACAAGCTTTCCATGAAAAATCTTTGTAAGCCCTTTTCACTCCCAGAACCAAACCCAGTCCCAGTCCCAGACCCAGACTTAAGCCAAACCACATCGTCATTAGCTGACCCCAAAGAAATGAGCTCACGAGCTCATAAATTTTATTCAAATTACAAATTCATTAATACGAGTGATTTTTATTTAGAATGCGTTTCGGTTTGATTTCTTCATTTCTGTGAAGAAAAGGCACCCAACTGGGTTGTGCTAGTGTTGTATAATTTCCAATTAGAAAATAGCACGCATAACCACTATTGAAATAAACAAACAACTTAAGCGAAAGCGTACTAATGCTGCGTTAACGTTTACTATGAGAGTTAGTCCATCATATTTGTATATTTATAGATATAAATATATACCGGATTAGTTAGCCGCATTTGGGTGTTACAATTAAACCGCAAGCCCACTGCAAAAAACATCTCTGAGTGCGTCTCAAAGAATGATTCGATTATATTTGATTTCTTCAATTTCGTTACTTTTGAAATGCAAAAAAAAACAAGAGGTCCTTAGTCGACCGAGAAGGTGATTATACCACGACAACTACAAAAAACTAAACTTCTAATCCTTTTTCAGTGCTGTTAAATAATTACCAAATTGTAAGAAATATTTAAAAAAATATAATAAGTAATTAAAAGCGGATGAAATGTACATACATATGTAAAATCGTTTTTTTGCAATCAATCAAATATTATACATGGGATAGCAGTTGAAATGGCGAAGAGAAAAAAAAAATGAATTAATCCGAATGCGTTGTTTATTAGTATTCAGAGGATTAATAAATTCTTTGGATCAACTTTTGATGAATCCCAGAACGATACAAAGAGATGATAAGATTGAGCAAAATGTATGTGCGAACGTTGTTTCTATGTCAATCGTATAAATGACTTATTATAATCTGGTCCGATGAAAAGTCAGAAACTAACATTTAAGGCAATTAAATGCACCTCAGATCATCCTGTAGATCGTTATAATAACTTTTCATCTCCTTTAATTCATTTCTTTACAATGAAAATGCTTCAATGTTTAAAGTATTTGACAAAGAGTCTTGTCATTATATTGCTATCAACTTGAAAGGCGTCTTTATATTAATGATAAGTGTAGATCTTGCACTCAAAATTTGAATTTATGTCGGCTTTCCTTTAGTTTTAGCAATCATGAATTGGGATGTAAAATTGGCTGTAAAATGTTCAATTAGTCCGACACAAGCATGCTTCACATATTTTCATTGCCAAATCGATGAAAAACTATCTGAAATTATTATACAAAACAAACCACGAGCTGCGAATAAAAATGTGCATGCGCATGCCTGCATGCATATAAACTCTCTCACACACACACATTCACACTCACATAAATATGTGCATCTAGAAAAAATATGCATAATTTTGCAATAAATGTAAATATTACTGGTCCGCTTCCTCTGGGAGCCAAAGCGCCATGCTGTTGTTGTTTCCTGCTGCTGCTGCTGCTGCCGTTGCTGTTGTTGTTACTGCTGTAGTTGTTGTTGTTGCAATTTTGGCCTCGTCGCCATCGTCATCTGTAGCTGGCTGTGTGTCTCTGGCCTGCTGCATTTTGCGTCCGGCAGCCACGCTCCTGCTCCTTATCTTTGCTCATGAAACCGCGACACGAAAGCCAGAAACAAGAATTATAGACCAAAAGCGAGTTGCAATGCAAGCAAGTAAGAGCCTCCTCAGTGTGTAGGCATCAACATCTATGTACATATATAAATACCTATATACATGTACATATACTCCTATATATGTGTGTGATTGCAGCTAGAAGTGAAGGCATACATATGTATGTATGTATGTACATAAACAGAGGACTTGTTGCGCAGCATCAGCAGTTTTTAAAAGAGTCAACAATTGCGATTACAGTTGCCAGCATAAAACCGAAGACGAGTAGAACGTTACACATTCGCGCCAGCCCGACTCTAGAGTACCCTGTATCCTCCCTATAAAATAAACTTTGTTGTGTCAATCAACAAAGCTATGCAATATACATACATATTATAGTTTCGCGATATTGTTAACACTTCAGATTATAATGCGGCAATTAAAAATACCATCCTTGGTATTAATATATACTACTTGTAATATTATAAAGAGGAAAGATTTGATTGTTTGTTTGTTTGTTTGAATTGAAGAGGCTCCGAATCTACTCGACCGATTTAATGGATTCTTTCACTGTTGGGAAGCTACACTATCGACGGTGAACATGGGCTATATTATATTTGAAAAAAAGAATGGAATCCTTATTAAAACGCCGATAATGTAACCAAAG